TTTGTATGAATGTGGTGTCATATTGCGAGTGATCGGTGGTTCAGATTGGCAGATTGCTTCCGTCAGCTTACAGCAGGGCATCCTTAAAAAACTTATACTTACGGTGAGCAAGATCTCCTCTTCACAGATCTGACCTGTAACTTGACCTGGTAACATCTACTGCTTTTCTCCATAGTGATAGAAGAAGAATTTATTGCCTACTGGATAACATTTCAAGCAAAGCATCAACATCTCCATGAAGACAAGCAGGTGTCAGTCCCTCCGACAGTTAAAGTTACACAGCGAAACTTTAAGAAAGCATCTAAAGCCAGTCGTTATTGTTCTCTCCCTCACTTTTCACACCTACCATTCACGGTTTATTCCATTTGCAGGTCGGGTTGCAGTTTTAATAGCGTTAGGCAGGCCTGCATTAGCCGTGATGTATGGAGAAGCAGAGGAAACCTGACTACGGCCTGGGAAAAGGTCAAGAAATGCATGTTATATGGACAGTTCCAGTTGTCTGAGAGCTCCCTCCCATTGGACACACTCGAATCAATAGCGCCGCTTTAAATAGGCCCAGCTTGAGTCCTGGTGCTAAGTATGGCCAACACATGTACAGGATATTTCCCCTCCATGGAAAATATTTTGTAGCATTGCAGAAAACCGATCTACCCCACGGGATACAAGAATGCCCAGTCATCCCACGTCACAACGCCATGAGTGACGTTTTTTTTTACATTTTTATTTGGGATTCATACGCGCACGCTGATCCTTACAGTCCCGCAGGGAAGTTAAAGAGAATAAATGTGTGTAAATTATGCAAAAAATCAATGCGGAGAAACTGGACGATTTGCTATGTCAGAGAAAAACTAAATATGTGTAGACAGGATCTGACTGTGATGGTCCACTGAATCATATATATTTCTCTGCTGACCACATGGAGCACAAACGCTACAGAAACTGTCACCAACTGAAAGTAAAAGCAGATTTTTGGCTTTTACATGTACAGAGCTATAGCAACGGCACTACTACTACTTTTACTACCACTTCTAGCTATCTACCTTTACTCTGATTACTACTTTGACTACTACTATGACTACTAGACTACTGCCACTTCTAGAACTACTACTACAGAGATTACAACAACCATTTACAGAACTACTACTATGCTTACTACCATTTCTAGCTATCTACTACGACTACGACTATGATTACTACTATGACTACAGCTATGATTACTACTTTGACTACTACAACTACTACACTACTACCACTTAAATTACTTCAACCATTTACAGAACTTCTACTATGTTTACTACCACTTCTACCTATCTACTACTACAATTACTACTATGAGTACTACTACAACTACTACACTACTAGCACTTCTTGAACTACTACTACAGCGATTACAGTACTACTACTATGTTTACTACCACTTAGCTATCTACTACTATGATTCCTACTACTATGATTACTACTACGAGTACTACCACAAGTACTACATTACTACCACTTCTAGAACTACTACTACAGAGATTACTACAACCATTTCCAGAACTACTATGTTTACTACCACTTCTAGCTACGTACTACTACGATGCGTTACTACTACAAGTACTACTACTACTACTTCTCTTACTCCTATTACTATCACTACATTACTAGGCCTACTGAAGCTAGTATAGACCAACCACTAATATACACCACTAAAAGAATAAAAAATATATATAAATCATATTTGTATCAAGGTGCAATTACAGTTATATAGATGAGAGGATTTTTAACTGTATTTGTTTATAATATCCATCTAACTTTGCACCTGCTTTGACCCATAATGACTTGAAACTTTACCTTACAGACTAAAAGATGAAGGCCTCATATTTGCGTTTTCTCCTCAATGCCTTGTGTGTCCTTGAAGGAAAGCTCTGGGTCGACTCGGGGTTAATCCTGTGAAAGCTCCACACAACTAACAAGCTGCAGCCGCTGCTCTCAGGCAAATTCAACCCATAACTAAAGTAGACGTACAACACTGCTCTGCCTATGTACTGTAAAACAATCCATCTAAATCACAATGAATCAGCCTGGTTTTAAAGGTCCGATGTTACACAAAATGGAATCTTGTGAGCTTTAAGCCATGTTAGAATACTGTTACCTCATCAAAAACATACCTGGAGTTGTGTTTTCTTTCATTCACACATTTTTGAATAATCCTTCATTAACGGTCGTTTACATCTCCAAAGCTCAAAATGCCATGTCTCACCAAGCGATGTCATGAAGCAGAAGTTTTCAGGTTAATATTATCCAAATGAGTCTAATGAATGTGTTTTGTTGAGTGTTTTCTGTTTGAGAGAAGAACTCAGCCTAAATATGTAGAGTTTGCGTTGTTTGTGATAAGGAAACATTATAACATAGACCAGAAAATACTGTAATATTGACCGTTAAGTTGTTTTTCAAGTACTTTTTGTATCTATTGTAAACCTGAAAGTAAGAGTTGTAATAGCTGACACTGTCTTGGCAGTCCAACTTTGCTGTATGAAAAAAGTTGTTCTAAAACCATAGCGTGCATAAATGTGAAAATTAATTTGTGACAGCTGCAGCAAATAGTTAGATTTAAATGGACTTCCTCCTTTCTGGATTTGATATATCAACCAATACAACAAGTAAACAAATAAATACATACCAAAATCTGGTAACATGATAATGAATGTTTGCTTTTCAACAGTTTGTCTGCTGGCTTCCATTATTGTAGTCAGGACCACGATAGTGAGAGACAAGGAGGAAAATAGAAAGTTAACCAAGAAAAAACTAACATACAAGCAATGAAATTAAAGGTGCAATGTGTAACTTTTCAGTTGGGGGTCCGTCACCACCTTGTTTCTATGGATATGTTATTGCTCTCTTTAAAATGTTCCACAATATGACATTAAACAGATCTCCCTTAAATTTATTAAATTACAGATGGTTTTATTGTACAGTTTTAACCTCAAACTTCAACTTCAAACAGACCAAACTCAAAATGCTATTTTATGTGGTAAAGGATCCAGTAAGAAAAGTACAGAGTGACTCACTCAGGTTCGAATATTAGACTACATTTGTTCAAAAGAGTGTACGGTGACGCAGTTTCTTGAAATTGTTTTGCCCTGAATGCGTCATAGTTCAAAATGATATAAATTAGACTAAATCCTAAATCCAAAATTGTGCTCAACGGGAAAATGGAAATAGAACAATTTTGGGGAAAAAAGACTTTTGTAGCTGGACTAGAAACCAAACCACTTTCAAGGGCAGGGCTGACTGTCCCGCTGGTTTCATCAGAGAAGGTGCCTCTCACAGTGATGAGCTGGTAAAAACTGGGACTTCAAGACTATCACAAAGAGCACATGGGCTCATAATGCTTTATTCATATTATGTTAAGACAAATTATGAGTCATTTTGAAACACAACAAAGACAAAAGCAGGGTTTAAGATACTTTTCCACACCACAGTCCTCAAATGGTAAAATATTTTCCCTAATATTTTGGTTTAAAATTACATTGCAACAATCTATAAGCATTTAGAACAAGTATAAGCAAAAAGTAAAATAAAACTTGGTAATATGCAAATTATTGTAATATGGTGAGTGGGAGGACCAGTTGCTACTTGAAATCATCAGATTCATTAGATGTATAACTTCTGGAGAAAGGGGTATTGATTTGCCTGGAATATTTCACAATATTTCATTAAACATACCTATTTCCGTAGAGACAGGCAGGTGATGCCATCAAGTTACAGGTCAGATTTGAGTAGCTGCGAGCTCACTGACAGAAAGCATGTTTTCTGCAATAAATACTGTATATCTGTAATAAAATGAAAGTCAGCAGAAATGAAAGCTACACATTTAATGCAGTTCTGTGGGATATTTCAGGAAAAGCAATAACATTTCCATGGAGACAGACCATCCACCAGAAAAGTGTGACATAGTGCACCTTTAAATTTATTGTAATAATATAAAACAGTTTTAAGTACAGTTCAGGTTTGCACATTTGGCTGTACTCTAAGATATAGTGGCCAAATACCAAAATACCATCATTTTATACACATTTATACATATACTTCACAAGTTTGAGATGACCTGACAATGCATGACATATGATGACTTACATTTGGACATTTCGATTGATTCTGTACATGCCAACACCTCTTCTTATCCCAAACTAGGCTCATTTTCCCTCTCCTTTCAGCACCTCAGCCAGAACCATCTGTCTTTGTGAGGCAGCTGCTGTGTGCGTGTGTGTGTGTGCGTATGTGCATGTGTGTGAGTTCAGCCTATCCACATCTGCTCTGGGACCTGGTGATTACGGCCCGGCAAACAGGCTCTCAGTGCAGATATGAAACTGTCTACTCTGCTGCAATACACTTCAATATATAGACATAGGAAGACTATATGGTGGTCACATAAACTAAAGTACGCTGTATTAAGTTGGACTGCTTGTTTATTATTAAAACAAGATGACTTATGATTTTTACATGATTTTGATAAAATTGATAAATTGAATGTGTGATTATATAGTTTTGTGTGGCCTTCATTAAGTACATAGCAAAAGAAAAATACAAATCTGAATACGAATCATACCTGGACGACTGAGGAGTTACATAGACTTATTAAGGAAATGGCAAAAATCCCTCTGAGGACAATAAAAAATGATCTCATCTTGTGTAACAGACAAGCAACTTTAACACTAGATATTATGTATCATATGTAGCACTATTTGCAATACTAAAAAGGCTGAAGATGATAATTGGTAGTTGATATGAACTTTACTTTACTGTGCTGCTAATTAGCCATTTTAACATGGTTTCCCCCCCACTGTGGCCAGTAGGGGGTGACATATATTTAACCCAAGCATCGGTTGTGATTTAACAGGTTCATGCGTCACATGTTTTCCTATCCATACCATATTTATGGGTTTCAGTCGTCCCTTAAATCTATTCAAGGAGATTTTTACATATTAATGCTATAATCCTTCTCTCTCTATCTACAGATCCTCTGCTTCCCACATACATCCCTCTGACTGACACAACCACGTCACTGTTCACCACAAACTTCTTCCCTGATGGATCTGAAAGCCCGTTGCCGGGGGAGACCACCACTTCCAGCTCCGGATCCCCGCGGTTCCTCGGAGGGGGGCTCAACGAGAACCTCATCCCCATCTACTGCTCCATCCTGGCAGCTGTCGTGGTGGGATTCATAGCTTACATGGTCTTCAAGAGGTAAATAGTAATTCATATTTGAGTGTATAGGGAAATGTGACGAATACAACCTAATGCTATGTGGAACGTGATCACTAATATATCATTAATAATATATTATTAATGGGTCTGTCTCAACATTTATGGCTTTTGTTATGGAAATTTCATGAAAACACCACATGTGACACCAGTATACAAGTAGGCACAACTCTCACTTTCTATAATCTGAAAAAAGACAAGTCATATTGCAGTTTTATAGCAGCAAATTAACTTCATAACCAAAATAAAACACACATTTGTATGGTGATTATACATATATAGAACTAAAATATTATAATTTTTTTATTCAAAGTAACTTTTCTGGGTGAGTGTCTACCACCGTTCGTATCCATGGAGATATAATATGCCTAAAATGTCCCACAGTATGGCAACACCTATCTGCGTGATGCCAAAGTAAAATTACAAGTCAGGTCTGTGGAAAGGGGACCTCACTCAAAGTAATAATACATTATTTCTAAGATAATTTTGAGCAATATGACACCTGAAATGAATGCTATGATATGAATTTTGCTATAGTGTGGAACATTTTCGAGTAAGCAATAACATCTCCATGGAGACAAACATTAGTACATGAGTTACACTTTCATGAGACAATTGTGTTCTCTTTCTTGTACAAACTTTATATTCATAAATTTGTATAGAAGATGCATTCACTTTCTTGTATTTCATTACTGCTAATTTCCTTTGGCACTTCATCCCTATTATTAACCTGCACGTGGTAAATAAAGACTTAAGCCCACTATGAGGAAGTCCCTATAAAGGTCACCACACTTAATACATTACATCCCCCCAACTCTTCAGTGGGCATATGTGTGCAGGCAGAACACATTGTCAACAGAGTAAACAAGCTCATTACAAACATTGATTGGTTAAAACTGCCAACATGGGGGAAAAAATCCTGCTTCGAAATCTGCAGCGGAGTCACGCACACATCTGGGTATAGCTCCTCATGTAATTATCGTCATGAATCAAGACACTTAGCACTCAATATATCATAAAGAAGCGTTAGAAGACATGATGACTAGACTCTACCACTAAAGTCCTCATAAATATTTAAGATATTGACTGTGATTCAGCGTCAGGAGAGAATTGCAAAGCTTAATCAGGCCGTAATGGTTTAAAGTGCTCTTGTTGACAATTGTAGTTTCTCCCATTGATCATGCGCATGTAGAGGCTAAGAATAGCATTGTTATTGTCGGTACAGTGGATTGAATCAGATTACTGTTATGATGACGCTAGACCAGAGTTTGTTATGTCGTGTTTTGGCTACAATTTAAATCAATAATACAGAAAAATTTTACTCAAATATAAGTGCATCAAAATAATCAAGTGGACGTAGTGGGTTAAGTAAGAATCGATGTAAATTGTGGTATATCATAGAGTCCAGTATTTTCTGATCTATATTATAATCTTGTTTCTTCATCATAAACATATCTGGAATTGTGTTTTGTTTCATTCACACATGTTTAACACAAGTCCATAGACCTTTACTAGAATCATTTGGATGGTTGGATGATTTTTGGAGCTTAAAAACGCAAAAATCTGAAACCACCCTCCAGAGCAGAAGTCCTACATCGGGTCAGGTACCCGCTGAAACGGGCAGGTTTTAAAATTCTTAAATTTTACGGGCGGGTAGTGATTACACACGGACTGGTCAGGACTAAATCAGGAGTAAACCGGGACTACACCAAGGACTAATCTTGGGTTTAAGAGAGAGAAAGCTGATCTGCTCCAATCCTGCTCCGGTCCTGTCGCCTGCGGTCACCCGGGCGCACCTCCTAGCCGGTCCTGACAGTGAGTCCTGGTTCAGTTCTGGTTTAGTCCTGGTTTAGTCCTCTTTTAGTCCTGGTTCAATCCTGGTTTGGTCCTCCTGGTTCTGTCCTGGAATCAGTCTTAGTTTGTCTGAGTTAGTCCAGGTTCAGTCAGTGGCGTGTGCGGTGCAAAAGTCCCGCATCTCAATTAGTGTTTCTTCTGCTCAGTAAATGTAACCTAAAGGTAAAACGTAGCTGTTAACTTGAAAACAACCACTACATGACATCACAAGGTGGAATAGAGCATTTTGAGCTTTGATGTAGACAGCCCAGTTATCCAGGATTACTCAGACATGTGTGAATGAAACAAAACACAACTCCAGGTCTGTTTTTGATGAGGTACCGACATTATAACATAGACAAAAGCTCACAGGAATCAATCTAACCTTATCTATCATTACGGCGACAAGCAGGTGACACCATTGCAGAAGCATTAGTTACGCATCTTCCTGCTAACGTAATTGTGTTTCTTATACCACATCCATTTACAAGGACATATTATTATTCACTTGCTGCCTAAGTATTTCCCACTCAATAAAAGGTGCCAAGTAATCCGTGTTAATCACCTCTCCAGCTGGGCTCTAAGGATAGGCCTGATTGGTGTATTTGAAAACACAGCAGGCCCTCAAACCTACTGTGTTTTGCTTGCACTCAAAACATGAATAGTTGACCTTACATGAATAGCTGACCTTTGTGTTATATCGCCTTTTTTCTATTAGAATATTTTCAGTCAACTGGACATATCATTTAAATAAGATCACATGCAATAATCAACTTTTATGAGCTTGTTATAATAATCTTTGGATGCATGTTAAAATAATCTTGTATTGTCCTCCATTTGAAGTGTTAGTGGCAAGAAAAAATCAGACTGTTTACCATTTTTTATTCATCATTATACACTAGGAATGTAACAATAACCGAAATATTGTGATATCGTATCGTCAGATTTTTCACAATAATATCGTGGACCATCACTATATATTGAACTACAAGTTTCTATTCTTAAATTAAGAGTTATGGTGCAGCAATAGCCAAAAAAAAAAAAAAAAGAGGGGGAACTACATAGACCATGATCCTTTGCTCCACTTCAGTGTAGACTAAGAAGAAATAACAGTTCTAAGCACTTTTAAGTCTTAGTTCTTTGGATGAAGACTTGTAAGGGCATTTTAAGAGGAAAAAGTAGCATATTAACAGTTTTAGCTGTTTACACAAAATATCGCAATAAATATCATACCGTGAGATGTGTATCGTGAAAATATCGTATAGAGATTTGGATCTGGTTACATCCCTAATCGTGAGCCTCCCCACCATATCGTGAGCTTTCCCACGATATCGCAATAAATATCGTACAGTGAGGTTCATACCGTAATGATATTGTATTGTGAGACTTGGATATCGTTACATCCCTATTATACACTGTATAATATTGTATATTGTCACTTTGAAATACATACACAGGCTAAATTAGTGCATAAACACTCAGTAACACCCCAAATTGATGACTCTGACATTTTGAGAATAATCTACAGCATTATGATAACATTTTGTATTGAAAAGGCTGTGAGAAGATGGGAAGGAAGACAGCCCTGTTTATTCCCTAATATTTAAAGTCAGTTTAATCAAGTAATGCACATTTATTTTGGCTTTTATTTAATTAAAGGTTGTTTTATAGCTCAAAGATACCTAGAAAAACAAGAATTCTGACTGTGAGCGGGGTTGCGTCTCCACAGATCTGACCTGTAACCTGGCCTGGTTTAGTCTCCATGATGAGTTTTAATGCCATACTGTGATACATTTCAGACAAAGCAATAACATCTCCATGGAGAAAAGACTCTACCAGAAAAGTTACACAATGCACCTTTAAGGCTATAAAAAAGTGATTGTAAAGTGATATTAGTGCTTTCCATATTCATATATTCAAATTCAATGAGACCATTTGTCCTTTGCTGCAGGTGGAACAGTTGTAAGCAGAACAAACAGGCGGCTAATAACCGGGCAGCGACCAACAACCAGATGGTGACCCCAGAGGGCGAGAAGCTGCACAGTGACAGCGGCATCTCTGTGGACAGCCAGAGTCTCCAGGAGCAACAACAACAACAGCAGCAGCAACAGCAGCAGCAACAACAGGCCCAGGCAGAAGTGCAGAGCCAGCCAACACACGCACCCGAGCAGATAGGTGAGACTCACACAATCCACATAGACACTTATATGGATTCGTGTATGTTTAAAGGTGCACTGTGTAACTTTCTTGTGGAGGTGCTGTTGCAAATGTCTATATAAACCTTGTTTTCAGTTAAAAGCTGGGGTACCTGAAGAAGGAAGTATGTAGCAGACCAAGCAGAGCCAGTCAGAGTGCTGCTGTTAGTGCTTACTTTAAGGTTCACAAGAAATTAAAATTCATTATTGTTACACAGGCAGCCTCATTTTATCACAAAGGGCTGCTTTTAGAACATTCTTTGGGGAAAACACACTGAAAAAAAGTTAGATACTTCAGCTTTAAAGATGACCTTGTGCTTGAGTCTGCATATTATCACACCCGTGGATCATTATGTTGTAATTTGGACATTTTAAATCGCAAGAGTTATCTAAAAAGAGTCAAGAAAAGAAACATTTTCTCTGACATCCACATTAGAAAACTGAAATGCTCAATGGGAGCTGATGTTGCCATAAACGTCATCACAACAAAGAGCTGGCACCTCCAGTGCAAAGCAAAAATGCCAAATCCTACGTGTATCACAGATTAAGAAAATAAAATTAGAGAACGAAGTAAGTACAGGGCAGTGGGCGTATGCTGGTGGCGGTTAAAAAGGGGGTTGATCACCAAAATGACACCTTGAAAATAAGAGATTAAAGATTGGTCAAACATGCACGAATCACTCTAAATACAACTCTGGGTGAGTACATTAAAAGGTGAAACAACTGTAACATGGTTAAAAGCTCTGGAGAGTCGACATGATAATCACAGCTGCTTAACTGTAGCATGTATCTCTCAAATACAGAAGAAATCAAATGTGTGTCAGTCAGAACAAAATAGCTTTACCTCAGATTTACAGAGTTTAGTGATTCTGCAGAGGCCTTTTTCTGTTTTATTCATACACCGCCATGTTCATTTTAACACACCATGAGACCATTAATCACACCCATCATTGTATACAGTTCCAGACTATACTTCTTTTTAAAAAGTTATGTAAAAGTATGCAATCTTGCCTTCCAGGAAGTAACTTGGCAAACAAAACAAGGCAAGTTCCTAAAATCAATTAGACACAGGACTTCTGTTTTTCCAATACTTTTATTCAGTTTGGATTTACTTGAAACAGGTCCGTCTGTACAGACTTTATAAGCTTAAACTTTCTTACCCCTCTCCATGTGTCTCGTTAACATTCTGATAAAACCCACAGAGTTCACAGCCTTAAGCACAACTCAGCTCTGTTCCTCAGTCATTTATCGCACCAAGATGTTCCCCGATATGTCAAACATGTGCGGCGCTCTATCAGGATTGTGTAACAGTATTCTCCCTTTGAGCCAGTACTTGACTTTGTGGATTGAGATCAAAGATGATATTTTACTCATGACTGGACATAGCCAAGAGAAGATCAGTTGGGCTGGCTCCACGCATGCAAATACTTACATGATATATCTTCACCTATAGGAATCTGCAAAGCTGCTGTGACAGGAACACGCTCAATATTAGTCCTTATGGTTTAGTTGTTATTTTGGCTACATGCATCTTAATGACGAATGTTCAAGTTTGACATAAATATTACGAATGACAGAAAGCTGACACTGTGCCTTACTACAACTGTGCATGCCAGTGACACAGTGTACACAGGCTGGGAAACTGCATATGTTTGATCAGTCGCGGCACTACGATACTACTCCTCTATATTTGTACCAGAGGGTGCTCGAAGCATTTTGGGGGTGTCTGTAGCACATATTTGGCGATGTAGCAAAATCAGACTTGTTTTGTAAGATGAACTCTGGACAAGCCATCTGCATGAAGCTAACATTTCAGACGTGTGTTGCTTCTCAGTGGGGTAGGTCATTAAAAGACAAATGGGAGAGTGCTTTAGTGGAATTACATTAGAGTAAATCAACGACTGATGTGAAAGTTTTATTACATAAGTTGTTTGTTGTCTCACCTGCCTGTATTATTCTTACTTAAAGGTCCTATATTAAGCAAAATTGACTCTGTTATCCATGTTAGAATGTTGTTACCTCATCAAAAATATGCCTGGAGTTTGTTTCTTTCACACATATTTCACTAATTCACTAGTCTGTCTACATTTACAAAGCTCAAAATGCTCTATTCCACCATGCAGGAACTTTTGTTTAGTAGAGATGGGCAATTCCAGGGCTGAAAGTAACCAAATGATTCTAATGAAGGCGTTTATGGAGTTTAAAAACACAGTGGAGCACTTCCTGTGTTACCACATGGCATATCAAAGAAGGAACACTGTGTTTTCTGTTAGCAAGAAGAGCTCAATCTAAATATACAGAGTTTGTGTGTTAAACATGTGTGAATGAAACAAAACACAACCCCAGCTATGTTTGTGACCAGGAAACAACATAATAACAGAGATCAGAGAATTGTGTAATATTGGCCTTGTACTATTTAACTTTTATACATAGTGAACGGTCTGAGATCTGGTTGTTTCCATGGAAATGTTATTGCTTTGCCAGAAATGTAGAACAGGAAATGTAAATGCATATCTATGGAGACAAGCAGTGAGGCCACCAGACCAAGTTATAGGTCAGATCTGCGCAGGCGATGAGGCGATCTCTTTAGGTAGTGCTATATATTTCATATATTTTCATATTCATGTACTGCAGATGTATTGCTGCTGTCATTTTTTTCATTGAAAATTGGTATCCACATAAATGTACAGACAGTCAGGTACACAAAAATTATTAAGTTTTGTCATAGTTCTCAAAATTCCTTGCTGTGGTTGGGTTAAGTTGCTTTCACCTGTCATCTGCATATATAGCAGCTAATTTTTTGTTTATTTATTTATTTATTTTAAATCAGGGAACATGGCAAATACACATTTTTCCCCCTTTATTTAAAGGTGCATTGGGCAACATTTCTTCCATGGTAGACATTAAACCAATCTATCTCGAGGGAAATAACTATAGGCTACATTACAGGTAAGATCTGTGGAGAGGCAACACTATTCACAGAGAGAATTATTGTATTTTTAAGCAATAAAAACACCCGTAATTAAAAAATGCTAGACAGATGTGTTTACTGCCAAACCATGCAACATTCCAGTCAAAGCAATATCATCTCTAGAGATACAAGCAGGTGATGGACTCTCCACCAGAAAAGTTGTGCAATGCACCTTTAAATACACCTGCATATTTATTTTTAAGTTGATTTGTTCATGTACAGAAAATCGTTCTTGTGCATAAAACCTTCTATTGTAACTGAATCCATCCAGCTGACACTCGATCTCAATGCATCTCTCTAGTTTAAAATTGCATTTCCCCTTCCGAGTCCTTAATCATTTGAAAGAATAGCCTGTCAATTATTACATGTTTGCAGCAATGCCATAAACACTCCTGCTCAGTGTCCTTGATAGTCTCCATTACTTTCTAATGAGCCCGGGGAAAGTCTCATTCAGTTTTATTTTTTTCTTTCATTTAGCGGTAGAACAAAAACTATGACCAATAAAAGGATGAATTCCCCCTCTGTGATTGGCTGAGTGTTTTGTAGACTGCTCTATTAACCTTGGCACCTCTTAAAGTGATCGGCTCATTAGCAGGTGTTAGGAGACAGGATCCAGCCCGGGCCCCATGCCTCTCATAGTCAGATCCAGCGCTAGCGTTTACTATGTGCTAATTGGCAATGGCAACGCTTGTGGGCACGGAAGTATTAAACAAAGAAGCATATGCTCTATAGAATAAAAGACTACAACCTCCTCTAAAACCAATAATGTCCTAAGAATTATGTAATAAATCCCTGATAATCACAGGGGGTTTCCTGTTCCCATTGAGAATATTTTTTGGCAGCTGAAGTAATGGGAACTAAAACAAATCGTATAAGCTTTAAAAACAGCTGTAAAACTGTGAAAATGTATTATAGTTTGACTGACAGCGTGGATGGAGACGAAGTCTGTGTAGATAAGCTACTCAATGCAGTCTCCCCATCTCCATTTGAATCCTTCTCTCCCAGCTCCTCTCTCCTCTCTCCTCTCTCCGCTCTGAGATGTGCATTTTGAATGTGTTTAAATTTTAAACAGATTTGAAGACTTTACCCATTTCTCTTCAGTCCTGAGTCCATGGCCTGTATTTGACCTCACTGTTAAGTTCAAACAAAATGTACAAAATAAAACAGCTCCGATCAATATATATTGACAATGTTTGCAAGGTTGAATAAACTGGGTGACATTCACAAATTCAGAAAAATCTGTTCTCTCCATTCTAGTCAAAGGTTCTACATTCTACAAAATGAATTTCTGTGAGCAGTGAGTCGTTTTATAATGTTGTTTCCCTGTTGCCAACATACCCAGAGTTGTTTTGTTTCATTCATGCATGTTTGAGTGATCTGCTATTAATAGTCTGTCTACACCTCTGAAGCTCAAAATGCTCTGATCCACCTTGTGATGTCATCAAACCATAGTTTTCATGTTAACAGGTACCTTTATCACTTTAGTTGAGTAGAGAATGGCAATTCCAGACCGAAAGTATCGAAATGATTCTAGTGAAGATCTCTGGAGTTTAAAAACACAGTGGAGCATGCCCTTTACAAGGTACAGAGTGTTTTCAGTTTGAGAAAAGAACTCAGTCTAAAGGAATTTTATCATAAAACTAACAACAGCAACAGCAACAATAAGAACACAAAGCTTCTTTTGTGTAAATTGTGCCAAACTCTTGGTCAGAATTCTCCCTACGATGATGTCATCAATATGGAGCTCTGTACTTCCTATAAGTTTCAACAAACTTTTCAACTTTTTTTTCACAAATTGCTTCTTGAGCAATTTATATTTATAACAGGTATTATCTGACCAAATCACGTCAATATTAGAAAATCATCAGAACCATATTCATTTTAACCTTGTCTGTCCAGGAATTTAATCTAGCACCTTCTAGCTACAAGGTTAGAGTCTTAACCACTGCTCCACCCATTACTTGACACCTCTGATTGGATTATATAACAGAGAAAAGCAGCATGTTGAAATATTGAAATACAATGATATAACTTGTGAAATTTCTCAGCTATAACCAGTATTAAAAAGCACAGATCATCTTTGCTGTCAGTGGATAAGTCATTGAGTGAGATTTAGAGACTTGAGTGATAAAAAGATGGAATAAAATGTCTGATTTATGACACTGTAACTACTCCAGATGAGCTCTTGGTAAAGTTTGAAGATGGCAGAGTGTCCGCCCTCGTCATGTGGGCAGATGACAGTTAGCGGTGACGCAGAGATCGGCTTTCACTGAAACTAGAGCTCAGCCATATGACTCATATAGTCTACATTATACTGCTGTGTAATGTTACTAACAGAAGTCATGGCTCCTGGTGTCCTGCTCCACAGACCTTGAACAAAATATATATGCCTTGTTATAAAAAATTTAAAAAAGTGAAGGCTGTATTAGATTACTGAAAAGAATACTTGTCAGAGAGCACTTTTGGCCAGTCATAGTTAAAGGTGCAATATGTAACTTTTCCGTTGGAGTTCTGTCATGATTTGCCTTGGATGCACCACAGAATTGCATTTAACTTATTCTTCTTCAGACCAGCAAATGGCAAAATCAAGCCAGTTTACTGATCAGATCTGTGGAGAGGCAACCACACTCAGAGTAAAAACAGGTATTTATCGGGCAATAAAACATCTGTAATTGAACAAATGCAAGCTAAATATGTTTAACGCCATATCATGGAACATTCAAGCCAAAGCATTGACATTTCCCAGGCAACAAGCAAGTGACAGACTTGTCCAAAAGTTATGTGGTGCTAGCCTGATTCATCAGCTAGTTTTACTTTGTGGAAACCTCGCAGCATTAGGATTTGTTTGCTGGATGGTAGGCAGGTACATTTTTATTTAACCAATTGCTGCTATTTCGTCATGACGTATGTAACGCGTCACTAAAGGGGCTAACTGGTATAAACTTTTTCAAATCCCGTAGGAAGAAGGGCCATAACGTCTTTCCCCTTGATAAAATTCACTAAACATTCTCTTTGTTCTGGCTTTAAATCATTGATCTTGGGAATCGTTGCCAACACAGAATGTTTGGCTTCATCTACATCCATCTCGGCCGCTTTGTTTACTTTTGTGCTGTACCACACAGCTCTTCGCTGATTGGCCGGTGCGCAGTTTACAACCAGGGTTCTCACAAAGCGCCTAGTGTATTCTGATTCCTGACCTAGTCGCTGGAGAGAAATGAAAATGAGCGTTAATACACATAACAGGAAACATGAAAATATACTAAATTCATTACTGATGATTTTGGCTTTTGTCCTCCTGAGGTTGGAACAGCAAATCATCCTGTTCCATATGTCATTTTTATGTCAGATGCCCTTCCAAACATAACCCCCTTGATTTATGATATACTGTGGCTTCGTAACACAATATTAAGTGACTAAAAGATATAATCAAACCATTGCCCGTAATAGCATGGAGAACCATTTCCTTTCTTACTAAGAGGCATTTCAATCAATCTTATTGCCATTTTCAAGCAGGTCGAATCAGAGAGTTAATATATGTGTACAGCCTGTGCCCACGGAGAGCACTAATGCTGTAACTATAGAGGATTTTCCCAAGGACTCTTTGTGATTACAACAAAACCATCTCAAGTTCAAACGCAATCAACAATTTTAACTTTAACGTATAGCCGCGGGTCCAATCAAGACTAAACAAAAGCTCTGATTAGAAAGAAAGAAACCCACTCTGCCAATCTGAGTTCACATTTCTCTTCAGACCTGGTTCAGAGACAGCCAGCTTGCATTGATTCCTCCAATGACGTTACATTCGATAAAGCATTAGGTAGTGGACCATGTGGCTAAAATTATCACTCGAGTCCAAATGAGGTGCAGGAATGGTTTGAAAAGCAGGTGAAGGCGCCGTGGGTGCATATATGGTAGCAGGTGCGTGTGTGTTGGAGGATATGGGAATGGTTAGGATCACTGTCTCTCTGCTCTGTGTCACCAGCGCTGCCTGTGGAGTGTCTGCATAAACAGGAAGGATGAGGGGATGAGGGGATGTGAGCCTGGGACATCTGCATAAAGTGTGAACCAAAGCAGAGGCGCCAACTCCAAAAACAAAACACAAGCAGGATAAAAAGAGAGGGAGAGAGGGGGAGAAAAGGTGCAGGCTGAATTCTTTGGATTTATTTTGACAGTTCCCAAACCATACGTGAAGAAGCTTGTGTGAAATCAGTATCAGAAATGTTAAGGTTATGTTTATGTGTTATTATTATTCATTTTATGTGCATAGTATTTGTGACAAGCTGGAGTGTGACAAGAGAGGTGAGATGTGGGAGGTTTTGGGCTTTTTTGTTTGTCTATTTTTGTTTTTTAGTTTGAACATTTTAAAAATTGAAAAATTCCATTCACAAAAAAGTAACTTAGATGCACTTCTACTTATAAACCACAACGATCTCAAGCCAGAATCCAACAGTACATTTCCCCATTGCTGATTGTATGCTGATGTAAAACTAACCAAATGAATATTTTAACAAACCTCTCTACACTGCTCAGCTGTAGTAAAAGATTGCATTGACAGAGCCCTAGAAAGCTCACAGACCCTCTCAGAACCGCCTCTACATTCTCCGTGCGTCGCCATGGCGTCGCCCGGTCCTCCGCAGGTTAAGAGGGTGCTGGGAAAAGCAGCCGTTTGTCCCTCATCCTCATTAGCTTATAATGACGAAGCTGTGGGCTTTCACTGACAGAACAGGGACCTCAAGGGATCGGCACAGTGACAGAAAGAGGAGGATTGTGAAAAGCAATTATTTTTAAATCTGCGCTCATCCCAATATCGTGTGAACTAAAGTGGCTAATTAGGGTGTTTTTGGCAACACATTTTATTTATTAAGTTTTTTTTAAATTTGACTTTTGGGTTTTGGTAGTATTAGTGGTAATATTAGAGAAGCTGTATTGGTAATTGAAGTGGTGATCGTCCAATCGGGAGCAAAGCAAAGGTAATTTCTATATTAGTAATTGCATGGAAGGCTAGTAGTATTACACTGAATTCGTAATGACAGTCAAAGCCATACATTTTCAGCATAATAAAAACATCTAATTAAATCCGTTCTGTTTTGTTTAAAGGTTCACTGTGTAACTTTTCTTGAGATGATCCGCAACCCGTTCAGTCTTCATGGAAATGTTAATGATTTGATTTAAATTATCCACAGTCTGGTATTAAACTAATCTGTCTGGCATTTACTCAGCTGCAAGTGTTATTTATTGCTCAAACATGTCTTAAAAAAACATCCATTATTACTGAGTGGGGTCGCTTCTCCACAAATCTAACCTGTAATTTGGCTTGTAAGTCTCCATGGAGATTCTTAAGTTAAAGGCCATACTGTGGAACATTTTGGGCACATCTCCACAGAGACAAGCAGAAAAATTACACAGCGCTCTACATTTTGAAGCACCGACTTTTAGAATGTAGCAAAATAATTTCGTTTTCATTTCTCCAACTGCATTTCATGGGCATGCAACACAGAGGACTCACGAAAATAGCTGTACAAAACGTTTGTGCTGAAAGCGCTGTGCATCTCATTTAGGTCTAATTACTCTAATCAAACAACAATATAACTTGAGTGGAGCTACTTAGTGCTGCCTCCACCATGCTGCTTTAAATACAGGTTAAAATGGAGTCTTAACCAATTGGAATCCCCCTGGGGTTTAAACGCTTGCATCAGTCTCTCATTCACTGTGTCTATGCAAACAGAAATCTGATCATTATCTGATTTCTGGAGTTATCAGATTATTGGAATGCCATGTAAATAGTTATAGCTGATCTGAACAATCTGATTTCTCTCTGATTGTTCAGGTTTTTGACAAGGAAAATTATGCAAAAAATGTAACTAACTGGGCAAAGACAAAAATGAAAAAGTAAGTGTTAGATTACGTATTTAAAGGTGCACTATAGCTTTTTTGTTGGTTTTAAGAGTGTCATTGCAAAAATACCCAGACCTGTGACTTGTTTCCATGAAGATGGAAAGCTTTAATACTGTACTGAGAAATATTCCAGACAAAGCAATAACATCTCCAAGGAAAAAGCATTTGATGTGACGTCCACCAGAAAAGTTACACAATGCACCTTTAAGATTTATATGTAAATCTCAAATAAGAATATAATCTTATATGTAATACATAGTTATTTTTGAATATGATGTACATTGTCTAACAACTGATACATTTGCAGTGGCATCATGCTGGCTGGGGGTGCTTTACATGTATCTCTATTAGTGGAAAGTTTAGCAGTTACCATGGTGACACAATGCACACATTAGTAAACACAGCCAAACATAAGTAAGTGTTCATGGTCTAGTTTAGGTGTTTGATTTTCAACAAAAACAGAGAGATTCTAACACAGATCACTTCATCTGTTGTATTCCAACTAAATCAGCTCTTTCTGGTCAGATTGTGTTACAATAAAGCTCAGATTAAAGCTTGACTTGAACAGAGCTTCTAAAAGAGCTTCACACTTCCTGAGAACGTTGATGACATCAGCTGCAAAAATTCACAAAAAAAACACACGCACGCACACACACACACACACACACACACACACACACACACACACATCACACACATACTTTGTTAGCTGACTACTCTCGTTATCTGAAATTTACTTTCTATCCAAATGCACCCAGTGACACATTTCTGTTTTCCTTTTGCAGTTGTGCGAGTAGACGGAGGTCCACAGCCCAACACCCCTCCTCCTGAAGTTTGAAGAGAGGACGGGACAACACACGGCAAGAGGAACTCAATCGCGGATTCAAAAAAACAAAACAAAAAGGGGGCCACGCAATGAATGTAAAACAGACTCAAGTAGTTTTTGGAGCAAAGACTTGTGGACTTGTGTGAAATCCCCCATACCGGACCATTGAGGGAGCCTCTTCATGTAGAACAATGGAAAACTCAGTGCCTAGACTTCTACGGCAATACCAACCACTATCTGTACCAACATCACTGTACGAGGACACAAAGGATTCAAGTTATTCATAGTGCATTATTGTGTAATCTTAGTTTAACACTTTTCGAGTTTGGTCTTATGGCAAAGTATCTGCCATCATGTGTGCACTGGTTCAATGATTTCTTTTGACATCAGATGCCCTACCATTTTCTGTTTATCAAGGGTTGGAACTGTCACATGTCATGAATGCAGCGGCAAACTATAATCCTTTTTTTTTTTTTTTTTTAATAATGTTTGGAAATCCTCCCTAGCACTTAATGTACAGTTAGCCCCACCTGGTTCCACCTTTAGCATCTCATATTTATTTTCTTATGAATATGGAATATATTTGACACAATTTGACTGCATGGATGTTGCTGCAAAACCCATTATTTTTCTGCTGGTGAAACCTCTGAAATTTAGATAGACCACTGTGATAATAACATCACAAGAAAGTAGTTTTGCCATATAATAAAAAAAAAAAAATAAACTCAATTTTGATAGTAAAGACAAAGATTAATACTCAATACCAATTTCAATACATCAGTGATTAAAAATATATATATTCTTAGAGAGTAAAATGTGATTTTCCACACAAAATAATGGTAGTTTCTCAAGACGATTCATGTGGTCTTGTATAATAGTTCAGATATGAATCCTAAAGAAGCCGGGAGGGCTCATAACAAACGCAAATACCGCAACAAATACAAACGCGACAACACAAATGCAAATGCCACAACACAACAAAAAGCCACAACAAACCAAAATAGGCCACAATGGAAGTGACCGTGGAACTCTATTTTAATGCAAACGTCGCAACAAATACAAATGCCCCAACACAACAAAAAGCCACAACAAACCAAAAAGCCACAACGAAAGTGACCGCCGGACTATATTTTCTGACGTTTCCAACTTCGTTCACTTCTCAGTTCCTTTACTTTTCACATTCTTGTTCTTCTTCAACTTTTCCCATTCACTTCCAGCTTGATCCTTTAACGCTTTGCTTGGTCCATCGGAAAATAGAGTCCCGCGATCACTTTCGTTGTGGCTTTTGGTTGTGCTGTGTTGTTTGCATTTGTGTTGCGGCATTTGCCTTAAAATAGAGTCCCATGGTCACTTCCACTGTGGCTTTTTTTGGTGTGTTGTGGCTTTTTTGGTTTGTTGTGGCTTTTTGTTGTGTTGTCGCGTTTGTATTTGTTGCGCCGTTTGCATTTGTTAAGAGCTCTCCCGGCTTCCGTATAATCCAGACTAGTCTAAAACAGTTCTAATTTTTATCTATTCTGTTCTATTTGTGCGATTTCAGTGTCAATACTTGCTCAAATACATTCTAGTTTTAGCATCAGTTAATATCTGCGTATCAATTTCTCTGACAACCGTACCAGGAAGCCATCTCACATCGTCACGCACCTAACTAAACGCAACCCCGGCTTCCTGTACCATTCTCAATACATCCATTTGGTCTTTAAACACACATGGACCGTTTATGCCTAAAAAGGTAAACAGCTAGAAACTAAGTCCATTATCTCCTCATCTCTCCATTTCATCAAAGCAACAGGATGGCCTTTTTCTCTTTCCTCCTGTGACAATCTACTCTGGCTAGGCTCCGCTCCATCGAACCCCCACAGCCCTGTGCGGGACCCAGCAGGCGAGTCGTGAGTCACCCCTCCACTTTCTCCTCCTTTTAGTTATTTACCACAGACAATCTTCTAGGCATTAAAAGCATTGGTGCCATTGTTGAGTCATAGTGTTTGAGGGGAAAGGCTTGATTACATTGCAGGCTTTCTCTCTCTATTTTTCTCTCTCTCCGTTTCTCCCCGTCCCCCCTCTCTCTCCATCTCTCTTTATCTCTCTTTCTCCCTGTCTTTTCTCTCGCCCCAGGTCTCTCTTTCTCTCTTTCCCTCTCTCTCAGTGTCTACAGTATAACATCCATCTCCCAGAGGAGCACTTTGGTAGTATTTCTGTTATTTTATGCTATTGCTTCACTGGTTTGGGTTACAAGTCTGATTCAGCAGCGTCGAGATAAGAAAGGGGACCCGTTTTTGACTCACCGAATGCGCTGACGGGGAAAGCCATGTCTGATGTCATCTCCGAAAGAGTAGATACAGGAATTCTGTCAACAAAAACAAAAACAGCTATAATATTACGCATGCATACAATATTTAGTTAACATAGTAGTCACAGTTAAAAAAGTTTTACCTGATGAGCCAGATCCTCTTTTCTGTTGAATGCAAGAGGGTCTGGAACCATAAAAATGACATCTGACAGGGGAAGCCGTGTCCGATGTCTTCTCCAAAAGCATGGATACAGGAATTCTGTCAACAAAAACAAACATAGGTACAGGAATACAATAAAAAAAAAAAAAAAAACAGAACAAAAGTTTTGCCTGACAAACCAGATTAGGAATGCACCAATCTGATACTGGAACTGGACATCAGCACTAATACTGAAAATTTTGCTTGATTGAATTTTAACTTCTAAATATCGGTTCAGTCTATATCCTAAATTTATGTAATAGGACTATTTACTGGACGTAATTGGTCCCAAAGTCTCAATGTTTTATACAAAGCAGTTCTGTAGTTATTTGAGATGTAAACACAGACACATTACACATTCGGATCAATTTTTATCTCATTATGTTTTTGTGTTTTGAATTTTTTTTATTTTAAAATAATTGCTATTTTCAGTCTCTGTACAGGTATCAGTTGATAACAGCAGATATTTGAAGCTACAGTAATGAAATCGATAGTAGAATTAGATTGGTGCATCTCTAAACCAGATCCTCGTTTCTGTTGAATGTAAGAAAGTCTGGAAGCATAAAGCGTGACACTGACTTATTTGTGTTTCTCTCAAGAGACCAAATATTGTCTTACCATTAAAAACAAAACTTATAACTTCTTTTATCCCATATTTAGTGCTTCTGCTTGTTGATTCTGCAAAAATTCACCTTGTTTCTCAGACCTTGTGTTTTGACCATACGTTTCTCTGATAGGCTGATTCAGTTCTGGCCATCAAAAATTGTGGTGACAGTTCTAGACAAATTAGGCTTTGTAAAGTATTGTAAAAGTGTGTGGTCTTGGCTGGCCAGGCAAATAAAGTCTAGTTTATCTTACACATAAACATAGTGAAACCACAGAAAGGCTATAAAGGTAGACTGTAACATTTTTAAGCAGAAATTATTATCGTCAGTCAACCTTCCATACAAATGAAGTGCTCAAAGTGGATCTCTGCATCTTTGTTTGCAATTGTCCTCTCTCTGCTTTTGTAGGAACCAAACTGGAACTAACCCAGAACTAAAATTGGATTTGAACCAGACAATATTTTTATCAAAACTAAACTTTGGCTCAAACCAGACAAATGGATGCTGCCTTAGTAAATGTGCCATTAGCAAAACACAGAAAAAACATTATGAAAAACTCCAAACCAGACCTATAATACATCTAGGACTTGAGTGTACTTCAACATACTTGGACCTAGGTTTAGTGGTATATTGATAAACACATGTGAGTCACTAATGCACTACTCCTAACCCTCACATCAACACAAAGCCCATTAGAAAGTCTATTTTACACCAACAGATCTCAATTACCTCAGGTTTTATCTTCGTTTAGCACTGTTTTAGCTCCTTTAGCTTTTCAATGGCTTCCTATGACTTCCGGACGTCGTCATGGGGACGGAGACCGCGTGACATTAAAACCCCCCATATCCATGTGAACATGCCCAGCTGACATTTACGATACCGTCACGGAAACATAAAGCACTTAGGATGCCGTGGATAGTGTGGGTGGCACCTTTTAGCGTTCATAGGGCCAATTTCGTGTGACCTCTCCCCGCTGTGTGAACCGTGGGCTTATTATGTTGTTAAAGGTCTGGACTGGACTGCTTTAGTGCGTTTAGGGCGTGCTTTCTCAGGATACCCATAGTAAATATACAGTAAATAATCTATCGTTGGTTCGTGTGGTACAGCTTAAAAAGGAGTTTATTCATGCTTTATTAACAATTATGGAATTTAACACGTAGGAGCAATTCTGCTACTTGTATGCTTTTAAATGTTGTTGCGATACTCACATTTCAAACTTTATTTTGATACTATGGAAAAGGTTTAGTACTATTTAGAGATCACCATGACATTAAAGGTGCAATGTGTAACTTTTTGGTTGGGGGTCTATCATCTGCTTGTTTCTGTGGATGTCATTGCTTTGCCTAGAATGTTCCACAGTATGACATTTATCAGTTTTATCTTGCATTTATTCAATTACAGGTGGTTTTATAGCTCAAAAATACTGACCTGTAACTTGATCTGGTTTGGTCTCCATGAAGACAGAAAGGTTTAATGCCATACTGTGAAATATTCCATACAAAGCAAGAACATCTCCACCAGAAAAGTTACACAATGCACCTTTAAAAACACTTCAGAAGAGAACACCATGTTCAACTCAAAACAGTAGTTTCTTTAATATGACTACATGGTCTTAGTTCTGATCATTCTGAAAGATCCAACTTTGTCCAATGATTTTTTTCAGTATTGACTTTTTTTTTTTTTACAAACTTATTGTGGACTGCACAACAAGACAGCATTGTCTTCAGAGTGATGACACATTTGGACCGTTGCCATAGTAAATAACAAAACAAACATATTCTGTTTTATGAATGGTAAAAAGTCCCTAAAATATCCTCTGTAAACAAGGATATGGATCCCATTAAAAGCTCCAACCCACACAACCTCAATGTTAAGAGACATCAGAGGAAATTACTCTGCCACCATGGGTACAACTTTGTCATACATTTGTGTTGCGTAATATTTTATACTATTTTATGTAATGACACAATTTGTTGGTTTTAGAGAAATACATGTTTAATGGTGAACGATGAGATGGTGTAGAAACTTTTTGCACTTGATGGCATGCTTGTAGAG